GGACTGGTCATAAAGTAACTGCTAGGGTGGGCTGGAGGTAAATCACAAATTTTGCCAATAAGTTCGGTGACCCATCTTAGGATGTAGATAAAAATTTCAAAGCCCATCTAATCTTACAAAAAAATTTTCATGACCCACCCAATCTAAATTGGGAAAATACACTTTAATAATAAAAAAACTTGCAGGTATGAACATTGTAAATATACACGGCACTGTATTGACATACACTGTACACAATTCCACCAAGCTTGACCAACACATTCATACTGAGCTGCTCTCCAGTTGGTTGTATTTGCTGTGATTCGACCACTTGTTGTTGTTGTTGCTGTTGTTGTTGTTGTTGTTGTTGTTGTTGTTGTTGTTGTTGTTGTTGTTGTTGTTGTTGTTGTTGTTGTTGTTGTTGTTGTTATTGTTGTTGTTGTTGTTGTTGTTGTTGTTGTTGTTGTTGTTGTTGTTGTTGTTGTTGTTGTTGTTGTTGTTGTTGTTGTTGTTGTTGTTGTTGTTGTTGTTGCTGTTGCTGTTGCTGTTGCTGTTGCTGTTGCTGTTGCTGTTGCTGTATAAAACAAAGTACTGGCTTCAATAGCATCATTTGCATTTGATAATTTGGATAGTTTTGTTTACTTCTATTATTAATATCTTTATATAATATATAATTAACATGGGTTTTTGTTTGGTGGCCCAACCGTGGACATACAAATAAATTGGCGACCCATCGAAACTTAGTGCCCAAATATTTTCCATGGCCCATCCCAAATCACTCCAGCCCACCCTAGCAGTTACTTTATGTCCGGTCCCTAATCATAAAAATTAATTGTGCCAGTGTAGGTAGTGCCATAATAACAAAAGTAAAAAACTTAATTCGGTTGCTTGGGATGCAACTTCCATTATAAATACAAGTTTATAAGCTAGGGAGAAATTCAACGTTTCGAGCGAAGGCCCTCAGCTCGAAACATGGAATTTCTCTTTGTATTTTCCAGGTACTCAGGGACGCCGAAAAGGGGGGCGCAGGGGGCATTGCCCTCCTTGTCCTTTAGTAAGGGGGCGAAAGTGCCCTTAGAGTAAAAGTTCAAACCCAAAAAATATGAGGTACAACGATTAAAAAGTATGAATTACGCGTGAAATGGACGTAATATTCGGAAATATACGTGAAATTTTCTGGAATATTAGTCAAAAATTAGGTTAAATTTCAAATTTTTTGCCCTTGTTTTGGTGAATTAAGGTTCCGGAAAATTTTTTGCCCTTGTTTTGGTGAATTAAGGTTCCAGAAACATTTTTCGGACACGAAATATTAATTAGTGATTGCCCTTACGTCAACATTGCCCCCCTGTGCCCTACCCTCGCTCCGGCGTCCCTACAGGTACTAGTGCAGTTGCATCTTTACCAACCGAGGTTTTGATAATGTTTATGTCCGCTGACTTACACACCAACAAGGTGCTGTCCAGCACGGGCGAAACTATTCAACTGTACGACTAGAAAATGTAGAACGTTTACTTTAATTCCAGCGTTCATTTTTTACAAGAACGTGTAGGACATGGAACGCTCTACCGGTTGACGAGGAAATGGAGTGACACTCGCTCAATTTAAAAGTGGTCTATTGAGTTTATTGTACTACTATACAAAACAAATTAAACAATGGAGCAGTTACGGAACAATCAATATATATGCACGAAATCTAGTGGCATAGTACAGGCTTTATCTGTAGCCCTTTACTTTTCTTGTTAGCTTGTTTGTAACTCTGTTTTGTCTATTTGTCAGTTTCCAATTAATAGTCTATAATAGTACTGAATTTTGTATGGACATGGGACCCGCGCAGTAATTGATGTTGCGGATTGAAGCCATTATTTCGCTGGCCCCAGAGTGACAAAACGTACAAAGCAACGGTTTTACTAACACTAATCCTATTCCAAAAACCAACTCTAACCCTAATCATTGCCCTAACCTAACCCTACTCCAAGTTCGTTTCTGAACCAATTTTGAAAACAAAAATTTGACGAAATGTCATTCTGAGGTCAGCGAAATAACTTTTTCCGTTTCGGATACCCTGTCACATTTCTTCTCTTACTAGTTGTTTTTTTGTTAATATTGTTGTATATTGTTGCAGGTCCATGCATGTTAATCTTTTAGCTATACCTCTTTAACTCTTTTGCTATTGTGGCAAACTAAATAGATTTTGGTCATTTTTGTTGTGCTCCGCATTTCTAATTGTTGAAGCCTTGAAGGGTTTTGTAAATGGCCTTTCCTGTGTAAATTTTATACCTTAATTAGACCTAACCGGCACAAAATGCAAGTATATAGGTACTATGGCTGCCAGAGGGCCTATATATCGTTGCATGCATTTTTCGCAACTGCTCCATGCCCATGGCTTCGTCTAATAAATGTATAAAATTTGCAAGCTCCAGCAGGATAGTTATGATTTCACAAAATATAACGACGAAAATTCTAAGCTTTCAGAGTTTTACACCCGCTCCCCCCCCCCTCCCCAGTCCCCACACGCGCGCTCGGTTCTCAATTTTATAGCAAAATGATAGTTCCACGAGCTTACAGGCTGAGGGATTTTCCCAGTTATCACTTGACAAAGTTCAGGGTCAAGTGATTGTCTCTCATCGGTCATCGCGTTCGATTTAATTGCTTTGCCAAAAATTTCTTCTCATTCCATTCTTTTGACCGCCAAAGAAGAGTTAAGCTGGAACAGAGGAGTTGACAGGTACTATGATCATTAAAGACATGACGGGGGCATTCGAGGTTCGACGTTTCTTGACTTTTGTTCTTCTCTTTCTGTCGAAACAAATGCAATTATAGTTGAAATATGCTATAAAATTTAAATCAGATGACAATGTAGTCCGACCTAGTTGCATCAGTTATCGTTCATTAATGCCAATACCCAATAGGGTTCCTGGTTGACGTTTTCACGTTCATTCAGAACATAAAATTGTTATTGGAGTTTAATTAAAATATGTTGGCATTCCTCCCTACAGGAATAAAATCAGGTGATATAAATCCGTGTTTAATCATGTTTGGCGAACTACTTATCGTCCCTAAGTCTTAAATCTTTCCGACACGAGAGAGCATCCTCACGCGAAAGTTAATATATATTGCATTTATTCGGTTTTCTGTCGGATGCATTTCTGATATATTGCATTTATTCGGTTTTCTGATGGAATACCATCGCACGCCAAAGTATAAATATTTTGCTGTTTGTAAAATACCGAGCGAATATGTTAAGGTCCCACGCAGTGTGTCTACATACATAAATATGGGAGCGTCCGAATAGGGCCGCAGCGGGTTGAGTGATATGTTGACACGAACTACTAACCTTGGGTAGCTTTATTAGGGCCATACGTCTGCATGTTTGAGCAAGATTTTGTAAACGTTACTGACAGCAGGTTTATCAATCTCGTAAAGACCATGTCCGTTCGCAGGTTAGGAACCTGCATGGGAATGGAATTTATCTGGAAACTAAACATGGTGAAACCAGTTTATTCTCAGGATAATTCCTGAGGATGACTTATGATTAGTTGAAACGCAGAAATGACTCTGAAACAAGTTTGACTTTTAACAATGAGTGAAACAATGGTAACTATTCATCCAGGTTAATTTAGTATGCTTTTTGTAAATCGAAGTGCGCATGCTTTCTTGGGTTAGTAACAACAGATGAATTATATAAGGCAATGTAAAAATATCCCTGTTTATATCATCCGCGCCCGCATCCGTTTTTATGCCGCATGATTTTTTTTCATTTTTAAAATAAATATTGTTTTCATGTGCAGTGGTCTTTTTTCACAAAACATGCAACGAACCCGTGCATGCGGTATTTTCATGATGGTCTCAGTATGTTCAAAATGCCATTTTATGATGGAGGAGAATCTGGCTCATATTGTTAAAAACTACTTACGTACAAGTTAATATTTATAGAAATATACAATTTAAACACACAGTCGTTGTCCTCCACTGTTTTTCAGTATTGTTCACGTTTTGAGAAAATCAGTATATATAATACCTTTTCTTGGTCTGCAGTTAACCCAACCCGGACTATAACCATTTTTTTTATTCTGTCAATGCACTTTTCCGGTTTTCTACAAGCATATTTATGATAAATATTAGCTTTAAATTAAGGCTGTTCGCAATAAAAAGCATGAAATTAAAGGTGTGATCGCGCATTCCACTAAAATATATATTATTCAATACGATCATGCATGTGTTCAGTGATTTGAACATATTTTTTGTGCATCTACTAAATGTGTTTCGGAAAATATGTTTTAAAAAATCCCACCCATGCACCTGAATGGGTATTTTTTTGCTGCTACTGAAAATAAATTGGGATATTTTTTACATGGCCTATCAATAAATAAAGTTTTCATTAATGAATCTCTTTTACCCTTCAACCACCCCCTTGACGCATATAGTTTCAGACCGTTTATGGGATATAGAAAAAAAAACCCTGGGGGCCGGGCGATGATTTGCTGAGGATCTGCCTCGCATACCTACGTGCTTTATTATATATTTTGGCTGTATAATATGCATGGTTACAGAAATCATTATCCTCTATTTCGCAGCCGGACAGTTTATCTCTTATCCTAATATTGAAACTTAAACTTTTTTATTTGATGAAATCTCGTAATTCCATGCACTTCCATCATCGACAGCTTCGGTTCAATTAAATTTAGTCCGCATGTGATAATCTGCTTACAAGCAAAATACTTTATTAAATGGCCTTGGCCTTGCATTCACAGTGGTATAGTTTTTCAGCTGTTATATAAAGGAGTTAGAATTTAATAATATATTCTATTGGGTTGGCCTTTCATTAATTGATGATGCATGGCATATCCACATTTACAAATTAAATGTAAATTAACAATTTGAATGAGGTTGAGCACGATATGAAGAATTATCAAGCCCGAAGTTTGCCGTTATCAACCGAAACCGAAGGCTGAGGTAGTGAGGTTGATAACGGCAAACTGAGGGCTTGATAATTCTTCATATTGTGCGAAAACCAAATTCAATAATTGTTTTATTATTTATATTTAAAAAATTCAAAACAAACATTTGTATTTTATTTGTATTAAGAGAAAAACAATTCCTTAGTCCTTCGGCAGCCGTCGTCGCGTCATTTCAATGGCGTCAGCGAGTCAATATGATTCTCGTTGTCATAATAATATGGCGCAAACGCGTCCAAATTTTTTTCATATTAATAAAATTGACTCTTTGACGTCATTTTGCTAATGTGAATGTGAAAAATCCATATTTGGTCAGTCATTGAGTTGATATGACAATTTTATAGTTGGTTGTTAGCCAATCAGAAACCAGGAATTTTTTAAATAAATAATAAAGATTAAGGACTTTGCAACCGTAATAGAGTTGAAATGCGTCAAATCCTATTGTATTTTCATTCAATAGGTAAGATTAAATTTATGGTATATAAATATTAAAGTAAAAACTAAGTATCTAGATATAAAAATTGTACAACTGTTCAACAGTTTTCGCAGCTAAAAATCCTAATGGACAAATTTTTAAAACGATTTGTTCTTTTACGTACATTTATAAGGAGCCAGTTTATTCGTAAACCGCAAGTCGTATTTTTTTTTTTTACGATTTGGCCCAACATGGTCGTTCCATTTTAAGTGGTCATTAAAAATTAAACCGAGTACAACTTTGCCAAATTCACGACTTCAATAGGTTGACTATCATCAAGTACAAGTGGGGGCACGTCTGGATTATTCAGATGTTTTTTACCACCTCACATATTGAGTGATTGATTTCAACAATCCAGACGCTTCTTGTACGTCAATAGACGCCACTTAGATTATAAAACCTCTTCAGTTGACAAATGAGTACATATATATAATTTATATCACATTGGTGATGATTTGACAACTGAAGAGTATTCAAGTGAACTCTTTTACTTGAGAGACTAACGCTATGAATCAAATCCAGTGCACGCAAGGAAAAGTGTGGTTATATAGCTCGGCAACTGGACTCTGTATTAGCTCAGTTGGTAGAGCACTGCACCGCAATCGCAGGGCCGCAGGTTTCGATTCCTGCAAGCTGTTCTTGCTGTTCTTCGTTAGGTCTAAAATTTCCATCTACAAAAAACCTTTAACTGTTACTTATTTCAATCGAGCGAGAGGCCCAAAACCTTGATATTTCAAGCTAACTAACTAAAATACTGTTATTTGAAAGAAACTATAATTCTAAAATATTGCATGTATGTTATAAGCGCGATTAAACCCCTCAGGCTCAGACCTGAGAAAAATGGGCTGATGCATGCATGGCATCTTCATCATTTATGCATTATAAAATCTCGAACGGTAACAGTGGTGTGATTGTGAATTAAATGGATATGGCAATATAATTTAAGTTTGTCTGATATATAAATTTCCTTTACAATTATTCCGTATATCGCTTGGTTTTCGAAATAAATCGACTTATTTTTATCAAAAGCAGCGTGCAATCCGCCATCTTGGATATAGCCTACATCGATATACATGCGTCACAATTCACAAATAGGGTAAAAAGCAAAATTTTTATATTATTATTATTATTATTATTATTATTATTATCTATTATTATCTTATTATTATTATCTTGCAAACCACATGCCATTATTAATATGAAACTCGATTTTCCGAAGTAGTTTTAGTACTCAATTAACTCACGACGTTTTAAGAATCTTTTCGAAGAAATTTAGTCCCACATGAAGAAGTTTTAACAATTTACTGCTTGTGACGTCATCAACACTGTTTTTGGTCAAAATATTTCGAAAACCAAGCAAGGTACGAAAATGTTCTAAAGGGTCTTCATATATATAACTTTAAAAGTTCTTTCAAATAAGACAAATTAGTTTTTATTGCCATATTCCTTTAAGCATATACAATCATGGTGTATAAAACAAGTAGACATTTTTGAGGCGGCTCTCAATTTCAAAATCCGTTCATTTCACAATATGCTTTGAAGAATTGAAGCAAATCTGAATAGAAAGAAAGCACTTGATGTTGTATATTCTTCAACATGCCATTAAAAACCTGTTATAAAACGGTTATATTTTTGTTCAAAAGTGCCTTCTGAATTCGGGAAATGTAGTTATTTAATAGAGACAAAACCAAGAATGTTCCGGGGGCTTAGGGGGTTTTGGTGGAAATACGGTAGTGTCTTCTAAGACTCAATCCCTGACTCCTCTAATTTGGGGAAATAATTTGGATCACTGATTTGTACTGCCAATTTTTCTCCTGCCAGGAATTAAATGGGATTCGACATGTACATCAGTGGGTCATGTGACTGGGATTCAGACAAAATTTTGGCAGGGAAAAGAGGGATAACACCCCCAGTACGCCTCGCAATATGAATTTCACTAATCACATACAAAATCCTGTCTGCGAGATGCAAAATCTGAAAATTTTCTGGGGGAGGACCCCCAGACCCCCCTGCTTATTCTCCTTCGTGTTAATCTAGGTAAACTCTTTGTCTCTCCCCTTTGGTAATTCAGCCCGTACAACGTCTATGTGCCTTCTAAAACAAGAAATACCCGGTTATTCGAGATAAATTGCTATAAAATCAGTTTTAAATTAGGTAAAATTCAATAATTTTTATTGCAAGGAAATTTTTTCAAAAATAAGGAAATTTTGAACGGTTGGAAGGAAATTATGTTTTTTGAAAATGGAAGCACTGGTTTTGAGCCTTTGTCGCCATATCTGGCCTAGTGCATTAAAGACATTAAATATTGTCGATCAAAAGTATACACCGTAACAATGCAAGTCCCAATGACCTTTCGATCGCCCCTTCAATGTATCGTAACCCACCATGTCAAACCGGTATACTCAGAGAAAACCCACGATTCGGATATATTGCCTTAATTTAATTGAACTCATCTGATCAATAAATATATTCCACTAACACACTGTACAAATTATCCAACAATTATAGTGGAAGAGTTTGAGCCATATGATATGATATGATATGATATGATATGATATGATATGATATGATATGATATGATATGATATGATATGATATGAAGAATTATATAGACTATATAGGCATGTCACAACCGAATGTTTGGCTAGCCATTCAGTTGATATGATAACTACACTTTTCACTCCTAGCTGTGAAATCAGAAATCGAAAACTCTTGGAAATAAACCGATAAAAATAAAAAATAAGCTACGAATGGTGACACAGCTGTGAAACAACAGGATGTTAGCCAGAAATTTAATGAAATTGGGAAATTCAATCAGCCCACGCAACATTCATTCATGAGTCATTTCTTATTTCTGGGATTGTCCTACGCACTAAAAACAGACAAATTTTTGGTCATGAATTTTTCTTGAGCAAAGTTGTGAAGTTGAACAATTTTTTTGATAAGTGATATACCAAAATTGGGAGTGTGCCAGCTGAAGTCGTCGAGGGTTTTGCGGAGGTTTTAGTTTGGTGGACATTTTCGGGAGCTGTGCACTTTTATACACCCTGCATGTATAGTGCTATTTGCAGCACTTATGCATTGAATACCTGTAAATAAGGGTCATGCCAATAAAGTTAATTAGAAAGAGTTTGGATAAACGGCAGGATATTCACCTCACACGTCGAAGGTATAAAAAAAGCAAAAACTCGACTCGATATGATTTTTATTGATATATAATCCGCCGATATCTGCGTGGGGTAAGAATTAATACAGAAATTTGCGACCTTTTTCCCTGCAGATGATCGATGTTTTGTTTGTGTTCAAACGAATCTTTATTAAAAATAGACGGTAAAAAAAAATAACAGTTAAAAAAAGACAAATCCTAAATAAAAAAATCCGAACTACCGCCCGAAATGTCTGAGCTTACGTCGTCTACGATATCATCAGAGACTAGCTATACTTACTACTTACTGTTTATAAGTAAAATAACATAACGTCTTAAATATACGTGCTAACTGCAGGGCCTCTTTTAAGGACTGTGTAACCTGGGGGGGGGACATATTTCGCGGGGAGCCAGCCGTAGAGGGTTTTGGGGGCATCCCCCCAGAAAATTTTGGATTTCATGAAGCTCGATCAGATAAGCTATTTCCAGCATTTTGAATTAACAAGAAATTAACATTATAAACAGTGACACAATTATTGCAATTTTACAGTCTCCCAAATGTAATCCAGTCCCAATAAGGCAACATGATGTGATGATGCAGTAATGAAAATATGTGCGTGGTATTGTATTATCATTCACCACACTTCAAATTCTACAGTACTGTATTACATGTATATATTGTAATATTGAGGTACTTGATGTCGACGCATTCCAAAAAGACCCTGGGTACGAGGATGGACGCATTCGTCTTCACAGTTGTGTCACTGAGGAGCAAGATAGAGTGGTCTCTTTGGAGTATCTTTGCATAGAAAAACTAAACTAGAATTTCGTCCTAAAATGCCATTTCATGCCTTTTTCCACGAGCAAATTATTTCAGCCATGGTTTAGTTTTCTGGCGATGTTTAAATTTCGGTTCCCAAATTCCTACCAAGTCAACTGACTCGGTTGACTCATAGCTAATTACGGGCCTGCAGATGATGGTCAAATTCAGAAATCTTAACAACTTAACATAATTTTCTCGCTTTGTTATATAATTGCTTGTTGACCACCTACTGCAGGTAGTTCTTAGGGACTTTGCACTGGGGGGAGGAGACAAAATTGCCGACTGGAGGGGCCACTAAGAGGGCTGGGAGTGGGGGGCATGTCGGCCAAGTCTATATGTTAAAAGAGGCCCTGGTTAACTGTGTTGAATAAATTAAAACTAGTGAAGCAAAATATAATTTAAACAAAAGGTCTATAAGAGTTCATTACATTGCTCCCAAGAGTTAAGGCTGGTCTACACTGATCAAAGTTTCTGTGATCACAGTATAGGAATTTAGCATCGGTAAATTCTAAGTTTTTGAAGGATTTGTGAGAAATGTTTGAGAGAATTGACTCATGTGTTATTGAACACTGACTCTGTTCCCTCAAACATTTCAGTTTACAAATCTCTCAAAATTTAGAATTTGATCTATTTGCATGATCCTTACTGTCAGCACAGAAACGTCGATAGCGTAAACTAGCCTTTAAAGGGATATGGCAATGAAAATGTACTTCTTGTTTGGAATAACTTTTACTGTTATAGTATATTTATAGTATATGAAGACCCTTTACAACTTTTTCGTACCTTGCTTGGTTTTCGAAATATTTTGACCAAAAACAGTGTGCAGTCCGCCATCTTGGTATATTATACATTATAATTGACCTAACTAACTGAGTTTTTGATGACGTCACAACCAGGGTAAACTTGTTAAAACTAGTTCTTCATGTGGGACTAAATTTCAAAAATGTTGTGAGGTTGTTGTGAGTTAATTGAGTACTACAAAGACTTCAGAAATCGAGTTTCATATTCAGTGATAATGACAAGTGGTTTACAAGTTTCGCTTTTTACACTACTTGTGACGTTGCATATCGAATGCATATCCAAGATGGCGAAATGCACGCTGCTTTTAATTTGATCAAAATAAGTCGATTTATTTCGAAAATCAAGCAAGATACCGAATAATTGTAAAGGAAGTTTATATATGATTTTAAATGTTCTTTCAAATAAGACAAACTTAATTTATAATGCCATATCCATTTAAAGATGGGTTTGTGTTCATCCCTGATTGGACCTACAATCTCGTGCAAAAATAATGAGACTTTTAAAATTTGTTCTATTTTTGAAATTACTTCCCCCTCCCCCTATTCAATGTTGAAAAAAAAATTTGACCAGACAATACATGCATTGTATCGTTCGTCCAACATTGTTTGTGGGGGGAGGGGGTAATGACTTGACAAGTAATAGTTGTCTCAATAATTTTTGCACGGGATCGTAGTATAATGGCAGATCAAGATTCGATAACAAGGCTGCATGATCCTTGATCTACTTGATATAACATTCTTGCACAGGTGGCTTTTGTACTGTGAAGTTTTGCTTGCATAATGTACATCTTCTACATTTTCCTATTTAATTTTGACATAATTCACGCTAAGTTGATAATTTGTTAATTTCGAAAGCATCGAAATCATGATAAGAATTTGACCCAACCTGGGATATTTCAAACGGTGTATGATATAATTTTAATAGAAATATACTTGTTTCTCAGATGTTGCTGATCGAAAAAAAGTGATGACAAGCTAAGCTTGTTCTTATCTGCATTTTACAGATTTCTATAAGGGCTTTCAATGATACTTCATGGCTACAAAAACATATATTAATTGTAGCTTTATTCTGTCTTTATGGATTGAGCATAGCCCAATCCATAAAGATTTCAGGTACTCAAGTTTGCATTGCCTCAAGAAAGAAATCGTTATTTGTTATTACCATTCATTGAAATACTTTATTGGCGACGGATACGCCAACAGGTGGTGTCTATCTTAAATATGTGTGATTGCGTGCTCTTATAGGTATTTAATGTTCAAGGTGACAGGAACGACTTAAAGGATTTAAACACTTCAAAGTCAGCTCACTAACAGCATTTAAAAATATGCTCACGCGAAAATGCATGCCACTATGACACATGTTGATCATTGGAAAGTATTTTGATGGCGCCTTATATAAATACTATTTAAAACACAAGCATGCAGAAGTGCTTTATCAGATATAAAACACGAGAGCGCAGCTCGTGTGTTTTGTATCTGATAAAGCACGAACTGAGAGTGTTTTAAATAGCTTAAAAAGCGACCCATCTGATGACTAGTTCATTGGCGAAGTACGTAACTTTTAAAATAAACCTCATTGTATAAGTCAAGAAAATCGAAGCAAAGTTTGTGTAAATGAACATGATTTTTTATCACATATAAAACCACCGACACGGCAGTCTTTTTCATGAATTATTAATGAGTTTTTAAGGGATCATAATTTTCTCACTCTTATCGTAAAAAGTAACCATTACTAGTAAATAAAGTCAAGAACTGACAAAGCACAACGTGTTTGCATAGCCTATAGCGCAGAAACGCTTTACGTTATATTCTAAAATAAGAAACCCAGCGTATAATCCAGTCTCAATAGTTTTTAGATCACTAGGATCAGGTCATAGATTAAGTAAGGACAGATGTGTAACTTCAGTAAAAAAGTTGTCCCACGGTCGCCATCTTCCTAGCAAGTGTCGCTCGCGTGACAATTCGTCATTTGGCAATACGTCATTGCTTTCAAAATGCTTTCAACACCTTTTCCACAACTTTAATTGCTTTTAACAAATTTGAACATTGAACAAATGATGCTCTTGATTGTCTAATCCATAAATTTCGATCCAAAAAAGCCGCAATAATATGCAAACGTTCGTGTTTTCCAGGACGCCATCTTCCTAGCAAGTGTCATGGCGTGAGCATGACGTGTACATCTAGGGAAATTTGAGGACACGAAGTCCTATTAAGTTACACATCTGGTATATACTTCATCTGTGATCAGGTTTAAGGAATTAAAAATACTTGCACCACTGTATAGGATAGCTTTGCTGATCGGTTTTAATTGCTAACTAACGAAATCATTGGTCAAACTGATCAGCCAGTGGATTAGATCTACAAAACTTTGACATTATACAGTGGGACAAGCTACTTTCCACATGCATTCAAATGTATATTGTATCATTTCTTGACGCATTATTTATTTACTCGTTTCAATGTTGGCGTCATGCACAGAAAAATCAATTGTCTGGTTGCACTCAGGGGAGCCGATCAGACTATGTGAAATTGCAGTATATATCCCATTGCAAAGATTGTAGCATGCAAAGAAACGGCGCCGCCATTGTTACATATATAAATTCTTCGAATTGTAATGGCAGATTTATAGTTCTTATCAGGTGATAGATTCGTGTCTCGCTGTTAATGAATGCTGGAGTGGCCCTAATCCTTACCGCAACAAAATCCTATCTCTAACCTCTGAACTATTAAACTCATAAACATGGAGACATGCATGACTGTATATCTATACCCTTATCGGATCGTATGAAGCTGCTGACACATAAACGTGATTTAATTAAGGCTGGCTAGGGCAGTACAAAGTGCATGCTTCTCACGTCAAAATTCCTCGCATGCCAACACACATTCTTAAGGTTCCTATATTTTAATTAAATCTTTTCCCATATTCCGGATCTATTGAACGGCAGATAGATATACGTAGAAAATCGCCTGAATGGTATAAAGGCTATATTAAATGTGAAACACTGAAAGTTGTATGAAAACGGGAACTCCATAGGATAGCAGGGCCGTCGGAAGCAAGTTGTTATGTCAGAGGGCGTGTTAATCTAGGGGTTTAGAAAAGGTCGGGAAAATGTTGCGCTTTTGAAGCATCGGAATAGCATTTCCCACGTTTCCTGAGAGCGATTTTTATCAAAGTTTTGAAGTTTATTTTTTTCAGATTTTCTAATGCACTTTATACCTCTTTACAACACCACCCCCTCTTCCGAGTGCACCGAGTTGTTAAACCTCGTTCCCAGGGTAAAAAGCGAATACCGTGGGAATATCAATCAATAATATCAATGCTATTCCATAATATAGTAGTTGAAGGAAAAAACGAATTTTTAAATCTTTCAGTTCTCACACCAAAAGGAGAAAAATCAGAAGCATTTCTTAAGGATAGACCCGACCTTTGTTGTACTGTTGCGAGTTGCTGAGTATGTTAATAGTATTTGGAATAACTACGTAGAATAATTCAGTTGTATTTAGTATCACTTTACCTATCGAAGACTGACGACTGGCAGTCGAAAGCTCGTGTTTAAATAAATTTTACGATCTGAGAACGTTTCATTAACTATATTATGAATCCTGGTCGCGCATCTAGCATTTTTAGTTTTTCATTGGATTTGCAATTGGAATGTTTGAAATTGATATATGATATATCATTTGAACTATACCTGTACTAAACTAAACTGATATAAAACAGATGCGACAAGTAGCAGTTTCATACGACATGACAATTCTTCCCAATCATACAAGAAAATATAGGAATAAATATACTAAGCGAATTTTAAAAAGCTATAATGAAATCTTTTATACTGCAAGTGGATTCGCTAACTTTCATCTTCTTATTTTTTATCTTCGCATCCCAATAACTTTTTCTTTTGCCATATTTAGCCTCATAGGAATATTTCTTTCCAAGATAAGACTGATCGGTGATTCAGATGATTGCATGATAGTATCACTATCACTATCACTATCACTATCACTACAATACTACATGCAAAGAACGGTAGCGCACAAAGAAAAACTGCTACTGTACTAATGTATAGTAATTTGTACAATTTTTCAGTAATATTTTCGTAAATTTATCAAAATTTTCCCTATACAACTATTACTTTTCAGATAAATTATGTAAAATTGTTTTCTCAATTACATATTTTTTGCCCGACGAGCGTGTCGTTGAAATTGTTAAACTTGCCCGACGAAACTACAATATTACAATATTGGGGGAGGGGGGTGTACATGTCCTACCCCCCCCCCCCCAAACCCCTTCTGTAGTTATGGCCCCAGATGATTGCTGTTCCGATGCATCCGGTTCAGTTATCCGAAATATATAATTTGATTTAGTTTATTT